GTAGTCTTTCATTGGATGATTTCACAGTTCTTGGGTGTGCTACATGTTTGCATCAAATTGTAACTTGCTTGTTGGCAAACAGCTGAAAGATTATAAAATGCATTGCAGCTGCTTCCCTATGTGGTTCTTGAGTTCATGTTTCAGGTCATGGGTACATAGCATTTAGAAGAAGGAAAGGACAGGCGCTTTGGTCTTCCTGTTCTTTTGAGGGGGAGAGGGAGAAGGGGAGGGGGAGGGGAGGGAGAGGAAGAGAGAGAGAGAGAGAGAGATATAATAAACACAAAACACAGTTTTTATCATTTTAAGTGTGCAGTTGGCTTAGTAATACTAAATATATTTCCATTGTTGTGCAACCAGTCTCTAGAACTTTTCATCTTGTAAAACTGAAGACTGTCTCTTAATTAACTCTGTTTCCTCATCTCAGCCACTGGCAAGTACGATGCCTCTTTCTGTATCTCTTATTTGATGACTACAGGTATCTTATATAAGTGGAATTATATCATATTTATCTCTTCATGATTTATTCCATTTAGTGTAATGTCCTCGATGTTGATCCATATTCAAGCATGTGACCGACTTTCCTTTTTAAGTCTGGATAATACCTCCCCTGCTGGGTGTTTGTTTGTTTGTTTGTTTGTTTGTTTGAGAGGCTCAATTTGAAGTAATACAGATTATCTTTTTTTTCTTGGTTATACCTAGGTGAACTGGGATGGATTTAAGTATACAGTTCAGTGTCATTAAATACATTTATGTTGGGGCTGGTGAGATGGCTCAGTGGTCTAAAGCACCTACTTAGAACAAGCTTAGCAAAGCACAGGGACCGCGGTTCAATCCCCCAGCACCACATGCCAGCCAGCCTGCCCCCTGGTGGGCTGAGCTGGCCACACACAACACACACACACACACACACACACACACACACACAAATAAATAAATAAATAAATAAAATAAAAAATAAATAAATACATTTATGTTATTTACAGCCATCTCCAGAATTTCTTATTTTCTCAAACTATGTACTTATTAAGCAGTAATTCCCTATTCTGCCCCTTCCGCAACTCCTAGTAACTACTATCCTACTTTTTCTGTCTCCATGTTGTTGCTGTCCTTTTATGGAGCTGGAGATTGAACCCAGGACCCCAGGCATGCTAAGAAAATATGCCACTGGGTTATATCCTCAGCCCTGTTTTGTGAGTTTGATTACCTTAGGTACCTCATGTAAGTGGAATTATATAGCATTTTTCCTTATGTGCAGCTAGGTTATTTCATTTAACTTTCAAGGGAAATCTTTTTTTTTTTTTTAAATTTAGTACAGGGTGTACAGAGTCTCACTATGTAGATTGGACTTGTAGCGATCCACCTGTTTTCAGCCTTTAAGAGCTGTGATTACAGGCACGCTACCACACCCAGTCTCAACCCAAACCTGCGTGGGGGCAGTGCCTGCGTAGCTTGTGGTGCTGGGGATTGAACTCCTGGCCCCTGTGCTCTCCTAAGCAGGTGTTTTAGTCTGCTGAGCTATCTGGCCAGCCCTTCAAGGGAAATCTTTTTTTAAATTTTTTTTAACATTTATTTATTTGTGTGTGTGTGTGTGTGGGGCCAGCTCAGCCCACCAGGGGGGCGCGGCTGGCTGGCATGTGGTGCTGGGGGATCGAACCGCCGCGGTCCCGGCTTTGCCAAGCTTTTTCCAAGTAGGTGCTTTAGACCACTGAGCCATCTCACCAGCCCCTCAAGGGAAATCTTGATCCAGGAAATCTTTAAGACCACTTTGTAGATGCAGTGTGTTTGTAGCTTCACTGTAGAAAACATAGGCTGTGTCTCTTAAGGTATAGCCTTTTAGGCTGGAGGTTTAGCTCAAGAGTAGAGCTTGCAAAAAAAAAAAAAAAAAAAGAGTACAGCTTGCCTAGCATGTAAAAGGTCCTAGATTTGATCTTCAGCCTCCCAACCTAGAAGCCACTCCTCTCCATCCCCCCAAAATTACCACTATTTGTAGGAAAGAAAGTAGAAATAGTGGTTAATGGTTATGTAGGATTTCAGGGGCTGGGGAGATAGCTCAGTTGGATAAGTGCTTGTCTGGCAAGCTCAAGGGCCTGAGTTCAATCCGTGGCTCCACAAAAAAAAAAAAAAAAAAAAAAAAAAAAAGTTATGTAGGATTTCAGTGAATAAGATTTTTTAATTTATATGGGCTTCCTTCTAGTATCTTACTCCATTTTCTTACAGTTCTTGCTATAACATATACTTTTAGAACTTCAGCTACTCTGGGCTAGCTGTTTTAAAGTTCTAGCCTTTTTAAAGCAGATAATTTATGGTAATTTTTTTTTTTTTTGGCGGAACCGGGGATTGACCTCAGATCCTTGCGTTTGCCAATCAAGCGCTTATCCTATTGAGCCATCTCCCCGGCCCTATGGTAACTTTTTTATGGTAACATTTTATATTCTCTGATTTTCTCCCTCTGAAAAACTTCCATATATTTACATAATTTTGTATTGTTTACAGATTTAGCACATTTAAATTGATTCTTATTTTAAAAATTGTTTTATCTTTATTTTTTTCTTTTTTGCTACCTTTCATTTTGTTTGTATTTAATTCATTTCCTAAAAGCTGATAGAAGGATAATTCTGTGTTAGATTTTTCTTTCTGAGAAACTTAATCTCCATATTTGATAAAGCATGTCCCCACCCCATTTTATTATTTTTTTTTAAGAATGTATTTATTTATTTATTTTTTATATTTATTTGTGTGTGTGTGTGTGTGTGTGTGTGGCCAGCTCAGCCCACCAGGGGGCGGGGCTGGCTGGCATGTGGTGCTGGGGGATTGAACCGCGGTCTCTGTGTTTTGCTAAGCTTGTTCTAAGTAGGTGCTTTAGACCACTGAGCCATCTCACCAGCCCCCCCATTTTATTATTGAGAGCAGCAGGTTGAGGATTTGGATTTGGGCACAAGACATTCTGGATTTTTAAGGTAGTGTTTATACTAATTAAGGTAGTGATATTACTAATCCTTCCAAATGGTGTGGCTATGCATTATAAAATGATCAGTGTACAGAATTTTGAAAAGATGTAAGGATTTTTTTTATTTTTAAATAAAATTTTATTCATATAGGTTTTTTTTTTTTTTTTTTTCCGGAACCAGGGATTGAACTTCAGGCCCTTGCACTTGCCAGGCAAGTGCTTATTCTACTGAGCTATCTCCCCTGCCCATGGAACAATTTCTGACCAGTCTGGGAATGTTTTCTCAGGTTGGTCAATGCTCCCCCTTGTATTACTATGCATATATATGCATTGTAATACAAGTACATATTTATTTATGTAATTCCTATAATTCTGCCTATGACACAACATTGAGAGCTTAACTTGTGCTGTTGCCCTGTGATGAATCTGGTACAGACATGAAATGATGAAGGCTGCTCAAGGTAGGCAAGGTAGAAGCAGAAACAGAAAAGAAAGAATGGGACCCAGAGATTACTTTAAAAGATTTCATAGGGCGTGAGGCTAGTACAGGCTGAAGTTAGTACAGAATATAAAATAAAAATGAATATAGGGGTTATTATGTAAGAGTTACTTGTGAGATTACAGTTACTTAGGAAAAGGAGGGAAGAAATGACAGAAGCATGGCTAGAGGAAAAAATGGACAATTATTAGTAATATGAATAAAAATAGAGGGGCCAGGGAGATAGCTTAGTAGAACAAGCACTTGCCTGGCAAGTGCAAGGACCTGAATTCAATCCCTGGTTCTGCAAAAAAAAAAGAATAAAAATACAGTTTGGCACCAGTTAAATGTGTGATGTCATTCTCCTATGAAAATACATTAAGTGTAAAATAGAAATTCAGACAAGGGAAAACTATTAAATAGGAATAAAAAAGTTTTCTAGTCATGGTATGCTTTAAGGTGTGATAGAGCCATGTGAAGACTTTCTGGCAGTTGCTGGAAATGTACAAGTTTGATAGTGAGGAATCTGAGTGCTCTCAACACATAAATGGTGATTAACAGTGTCTGGTTAACCTTTTTTTTTTTTTTTTTGTATTTTAGGGAAGGGTCTATAGGAGGTTCAGGGTCTCACTACTACACTACTAGATTGGACTCATAGTGATCCGCCTGTTTACAGCCTCCCAGGAGCTGGGATTACAGACACGTGCCACCACGCCCAGTCTCAATTGCCATCTCAGCCCATCCCAGGGGCGAGGCCAGCACGTCAGGCCTGGGGATCAAACCCCAGCCCCTGCACCTGCTTGCAGGTGCTTTAATCCACTGAGCTATTTGACCATCCCTAGTTAACCTCTTTAGTAGGAGTATTTGACAGAGAAGACAAGAGTTCAGTTTCCCGAGGACCAGTTTTCATCCTGAAAGTTCTTAACCACAGATTGTACACCAAATCCTGACCCACCTATGTTGCAAATGCAGATGAAAGCATAGTCTCCAAGTACATATTTATATATCTAATTCCTATGTTATTATAAATTAATATGTATACATATTTTAGAAAGCCATTAACTTGGATTTTCACATGTGATCGGGAATGTTCCATAAAGAGTGTGTGAGTGAGTGAGCGAATGTGCTGCAGCTTGCGCCAGTGGCAGATACGCTTTGGGGGAGAAGTGGGAGAGAGGAGCAATCCAATCCTGAGTTTTGCTCTGTAGTAGAAGAAGAATTTCCTAAAGAATTAGCCAGATCCAAGATAGCAACAGTAGCCTTAGAAATGTACAGTTTAACATTGTGATAACAGGCAGGGGGCAGTTTGCTACACTTAAATTTAAGAACTTACTATTTATTGAAATTTTACTCTCCACAGATATTTTCCAAAGCGCCTTTCACATATTACCTTGCTTGTTTCTTGCAACAACCCTAAGCACTGTTTTTATTTCCTTTGGAAATTGTGTATTTCAGGGAGTTCTGAGTGTGTCCTGTATCTCCGTTTGTGCTCTTTGCTGCCAGGACTCCTGGGGAGTAACAGGTATTACCCACTTTGGAAAATTGTAGTGATTAATTGTCTCATTTCCTTCCCAGGTCACAAGGCACTTAAAGCGTTGTTGAGGTCATTGGTAGATCTTCAGGAAGAGTTGCTTTTCCAGTACCCAGATACTAGATATCTAGTAGATGGAACAAAGCCAAAAGAGGAAAGGTAAAGAGGGAATGGAACTGTGGAGTGGTTTATTTTATTTTCATCTAGATAGTTTCCAATCTCTTAGGAGAGAGAAAGCCATCTTTCTGAGATAGAATCAGACTTGATTTTAGTAAAATAGAAAAAGTCTCATAGATAAACATGATGGCACATGTCTTGGAAGGTACATGGTACTTGAAAGGCTAAGGTAGGAGGGTCACAAATTTAAAACCAGCCTGGGGAATATAGTGAGGATTTATCTTGAAAATTTGGAAAGGGATGAGATGTTCATTGGTAGAGCACTTGCCTAGCATGTGCAAAGCCCTGGTTTCAACCTGTAGTACCACCATGTAAAAATAAAAGAACCCCTTACAATTAATGGTGGTCAAGAGACACACAAATTTGGATTTAATTTTGGATTTTTATCTTTTGTTATGTCTTTTGTTTGTGGGCTTAGGAAAGATTTGCTTTCTCATAGGTCTGTTGAAATTAGGAGATAAAAGCATATTATGAATGTTAGTGCTTAATGTTTATGAAGCACCTTTGCTCATACCATGGGATCCCTGGTGACAACCATCTTCAGTGAAGGAAGGAGTTATTTTGAAGGATAGAAAGATTTCAGGGAACAATGAAAAAATAACCTTTTTTCTTTCCTGAAATTGTTACATTTAATGAAGGTTTTCCCTCATTTTGAGCCTGCTTTGTATGGCACATGTGTCCTTTTTTTCCACTGGGTTTGTCTTGCCTCGTTGTCTTCTACTGAACAAATTGGAAGGACAGAAAGGAAGCTTACGTTTATTGACTACGCATGTACTATATTTTGGGTCAGTAATCCAGTGAGTACAACTGGCTATATAGCTGTATTGTTTTACATTCTCATGGCAGTTACATGTACAGCCATCTCTAGGTATCCATGGAAATTAACTCCAGGACCTAGCACGATACCAGAATCTGCAGATGCTCAAGTTAGTGTATGTCTGTTATATGTTCGTGCCTCCCCCATCCGCAGTGCTGTGGATGATACCCAGAGCCTCAATTATGCTATCATGTCTCTTACATAAAGTGGTATATAATATTGGCATATGACACATACCCTCTCATGTATTTTAAATCATCTCTATACTGCTCATAATATAATACCTGGTTCAGGGAATGAAGATGGCAAGAAAATGCACGTTTAAAACATGCTTAAGGCAGATGTGCTTTTTTTTCCCGAATATTGAATATTGATTGACTGATGCTGTGGCTTCAGAGTGCTGTTGTGTTGCAGTTTAGCACATATTTGGGCGCCTACCCCTTTGAATTTTCTTCACGTTCAGCTTTCCATGTTATGTTTTTGTTATCTTATTCACCTTTCCCAAATAGTTGTTACAGAGACACATTTCTCTTATTGATTTGGGGATTAAGGCCATAGAAATATGATTATGTGTTTAATTTTTAAAGACCCTTCTGCAATAGTGCATGCTTGGTTCATAGGCATTTCTAATAATGATTTTACAACCTCATTTATTTTTAGTTTGCTTACCTTTTAGAAAATATTTTGAAACTCAAGTGCTTTTCATGTGTATTTGAAAAGTTACATGAGCTTTGATTGACTTCATGAACATTGTTTTCAAACCAAAAAAAAAAAACTATCCTCATAATTGTGGTATGTTTAAGATGTAGATAGAATATAGGGGATCGGGGAGATGACTCAGTAGAATAAGCACTTACCTGGCAAGCGCAAGGGCCTGAGTTCAATCCCCGGTTCCACGAAAAAGGGAAAAAAAAAGAATATATAAGGCCTAAACACTTCATATGAGGCTAGTTTTTTTAACCTAAGTAATATTTACTGACATTGGACTCTGTGTTCCTACCCATTTTCTAGTGAGATTTCTAGTGAAGATGATGAACCAGTGGACAGAAAGCAGAAGAGAAGGGCACTGCCGAAGAGGAAGCTGGAGATGGATGCCTATCCTGGCTTCATGGCAAAGCGCTTCGCTGACTTTACTGTCTACAGGAACCGCACGCTACAGAAGTGGCATGATAAAACTAAACTGGCTTCTGGAAAGCTGGGCAAGGCAAGTTGTGTGTGTGTGTGTGTTGTAGCAACCTAAAGCAGTTATAAGAAATTGAGAAATTGAAACTATAGTTTATTTATATGGATGCTGAATAGTCCTTTTTTTTTTTTTTTTTTTTTGTGGTACTGGGGATTGAGCTCAGGACCTTGCGCTTGCCAGGCAAGTGCTTATTCTAGTGAGCTATCTCCCCGGCCCATTTAGTCATTTTTCTCACAAAATTTACAGAACCTTTGCCTTGTAAGCATTTAACTGCTGAGAATACAAAATACTTTAAAGAAATAGGTTTTAAAATAATTATCATTAAAGGACCAGAATTTAATCTGTAGCTATAAGAAAGTGATATGACCTGCTTAAGACCCAGTTTTGTTTTTTCATGAGAACAACTATAGCTGCTCACAAACTCAGACCTTAGCAGAAAGTCCCTTTTGAAGAGATGATGGTCAGTTTCTCTGCTGACAAGTAAAGATGGAAAAGCCAGGGTAGCTCCCTTCAGCATTGGCTTGCTGTATTATCTGACACTGGTTAATATTGCAGGGTTTTGGTGCCTTTGAACGCTCCGTCTTGACTCAGATTGATCACATTTTGATGGACAAAGAGAGATTACTGCGAAGGACACAAACCAAGCGCTCTGTCTACCGAGTTCTTGGCAAACCTGAACCAGCAGCTTCACCTATCCCAGAGAATTTGCCAGGAGAACAGGTAAGAACTCTGTGATGTATAGTGAGTGTGGGGAGTGGTTTCTGTCAGGCAGATTAAGTGAAGAACTTGTGGGCATTACCTGGATAAGTTAACAAGAAAGGAAAATGTATTTCTGTACTGTGTTGTTAACAAACTTAAAAGAGTAGCTGTACAGGGATTTTTTTAAAAACATAGAGCTTTACTGATTGTTTATGTTGTTTTATTCTTAGGTGATATAGGAGTTAGGTAGGGGAAACATTTGTAAGATTTACTTAAAGATGTATTTTAAATCTTTCAAAATTTTTTCAGATTTATTTTTAGTTTTTGGGGTTTTGTGATAATCGGGGTTAGGTAAACCCTCTACCACTGAACTGCACCCCCAGTCCTTAAGGTTTAGTTTTTGGTTTTGTATCTTTTGGTTTTTTTGAGACAGGGTTTCGCTATGTAGTTCAGGCCAAACTTGAACTTACTGTGTAACCCAGGCTGGCCTTGAATTCACAGCGATCTTTCTGCCTCAGCCATCCTTCTGCCTCAGCCTTCTGAATACTTGGGTTATATACCTGTGCCATCAGACCTGGCTAAGGGTTAGTGTTGTGTTTGTTTGTTTGTTTTTGTACTAGGGATCAAACTCAGAACCTTGAAATTGCCGGGCAGGTGCTGTGCCGCTAAGCTGTATCCCTGGCAAGATTTAATTTTATAGCCACTCTTAGGAATGCCATTGTTGAAGCAAGTATGTATTTTGGCTTAATGTTTGTTGTTTACATACTCCTCAAAAGGATCCAGAAGGGGAATAATCAAATTCTTTTGTTTAAAGGAAACTTTTTTAATTATAAGAAAAATATATACTTAATTTATTTTAGGTTCATAAGAATTTTTTTTTTTTTTTTTTTTTTTTTTTTTTTTGTATTTTAGCGAAGGGTCTACAGGGTGTTTAGGGTCTCACTACTAACTGGGACTCATAGTGATCCTCCTGTTGACAGCCTCCCAAAAGCTGGGATTATGGGCATGCTACCATGCCCAGTCTCAGTTGCTGTCTCAGCATGCCCTGGGGGTGGGGCCAGCATGGCAGGCCCGGGTATTGAACCTCCAGCCTCTGCTTGCAGGCGCTTTAATCCACTGAACTATTTGGCTGTCCCTAAGTTCATAAGAATTTAAAATAAAATTCTTTTTGAAAATTCTACCCCTCAGATAATAATAGCTGTGACAAGCCTTATGCATATAGCATATACTTACTCCAAAATATGATTGTCTTTTTCTTGCTATTAAGTAGAATAGCTGTGTGTGTATAGAAAACAACTGCATTTAAAAGCTTACAACTTACAGTTTAAATTTAATATGTTCTAGATACTTTTTTATATTGTTACAGAGAGATCCACCTCATTTTTTAAAATGCTTACAGAGGATTCCATTGGGTGGAATCTATACTATACTGTAGTTTATTTAATTCTGGATAATTTGTCTCCATTTCAGAAAACACCACCAGTGAAAACACCACTGAACATGTGTAGTTGTGGGTTTATATGGACATATGACTCAAGGTTGGAATTAGCCTGCTTCAGGCTTTCTCAGTGCTGGGATCATAGTCACAAACCCCCATACCCAGCTTTTATTTCTGAGTTCTTCATATCTTAAGGAAAAAATACTTTGACAGGTATATTATTTAAAATAGCTGTGTTACTTTGATAACCTTTTTGAGATTCACTTCATTTCTCATTGACCTAGGAGATCCTTCCACAAGTCCCTGCCAATGCTCACTTGAAGGACTTGGATGAAGAAATTTTTGATGATGATGACTTTTACCATCAGGTATGACTTTTTTTTTAACAATCTTGTTCTTTTACAAGTCAGATTTTTAGCATTTTAAAATAGCAGGCTTCTCAGAACAAAAAGTAGCTTATTTTGCAGAATTATAAAGAGAAGGAGTTAGAATTACTGCATTCAGAGTTGTTTTACAGTATCATTCTGGATAGAAGCCAGAACTTGTTTCTTTGCTTTTTTGGTACCAGGAATCCAGTTGAGGACTTTGTACTTGCCAGGCAGGTGCTGTGCCACTGAGCTATATCCCTGGCACTATAGTGTCATTCTACATTATTTTATTTTATTTTATTTTTTATTGTGGTACTGGGGGATTGAACTCAGGACCCTGTACTTGCCAGGCAAGTGCTTATTCTACTGAACTATCTCCCCAGGCCCTTGTTCTGCATTGTTGTTTTTCTTTTATGTTTTCCCTTTGAAATGAAAACAGCTATGGCTATGGCATGTTGATGTTGGCTTGTGAATTATGTGTAAGATAGTTTTAGCTTCTTTGAGTCATGTGACTTATTTATCAACAATTTTCATAGTATTAATATAGGACATAGTGTTGGGTTTTTTGTTTCTTGTTCCATTCCGATTATATATATATTTTTTTCTTTGAGATAGGGTCTTGCTATGTAGTTTAGGCTGACGCTTGAACTCACTGTGCAGCACAGGCTATCCTTGAGCTCAAGGCAGTCCTAGTGGCTCGGCCTTCTGAGTCCTGGGACCACAAATGTGTGCCACTGTGCCTGGCTTGTTCCATTACTATTAGAACAGGACACAGTGCCAAAGGGCTAGGATTCCAGAATTCTGGAATTATACCTGTGGTTGTATAACGTAGTAAGTCTCTTCACTGTTTTTGTGCCTGTTCAAATGAATCAAGTGTGCATTGAGAGTATCTGCTACTACTGATTGTAATGTTAATGCTTTAATGACCAAGATTTGATAGAAGTTGAAATATAGTTCATTTCTTAATATCTCTTCACGAATGTCTCCTCTGTTCTTTGCCTCGCATGATCCTGTTTTGGGCTTTTGAGTGGGCAGGGAGGGGGACTGAACCCAAGAATTTTGCACTGAGCTACATGTCCAGCCTTTTTTTAAAGACAGATGTTTGCTAAGTTGCCCAGGCTGGCCTTGAATTTGTAGTCTTTCTTTTCTAACCTCCCAAAGTGGTGAGATTACAGGCATATGCCACCATGGCTGGCATATTTGAGCTAAAAAACCAAAGTAACTTCATATATACCTGAGTTTCTTGGGAAGTCATACTGTACTTATTAATGAATTATGCTTCAGGCTGAATTCTTTTTTTTTTTTTTGCTGACTCAGCCTGCCCTGAGGGCGGGGCTAGCTTGGCATGTGGTGCCAGGGATCGAACTGCGGTTCCTTGCACCTGCCTAAGTTTGCCTAACTAGGTGCTTTAGACTGCTGAGCTATCTTACCGGCCCTAGGCTGAATTCTTTAGTGCTCAGTGGATTCTGTTTAGCAGTGATGTACCAATTTTTGTTGAGCCATTGTTTATCAAGACAAATTTTTTTCTCTGCGGAATTTTGAGTGTTAACTTTTGCTAGAGAATTTGGAACTGTTGAAGGTTTAGCCATGATGCCTGTACTTTGTACATGATGTAATTTTAAAAATACAGTTCATATTTAAACATTTTTAAATTATTACAATAAAAGACACTTTGCCATCAATCTTCTCAAACCCTACTCTATGCCCACATTCTTATCCCATGCATCTTGCCACTTTTTTTTTTGGTGGAACCGGGAATTGAACTCAGACCCTTGCACTTGCCAGGGAAGCGCTTATTCCACACTTACCACTTTTTGAAACAGTTCTAAAAGTCCTCTTATATGGATATCTTTTTTGCTGTGTCCTGAATTGACTCGAAATACTTATTTTTCTTTTTTTTATTGGCGGAACCAGGGATTGATCTCAGACCCTTGCGCTTGCCAGGGAAGCGCTTATTCTACTGAGCCATTTCCCTGGCCCCTTCATGGTCATTTTGACTTTGGAAAGAATCAGAAGTTACGTGGTGCCAGATTTTTTCTTTTTTTTTTTTCATCGGGGATTGAACTCAGGACTTGTGCTTGCCAGGCACGTACTTATTCTACTGAGCTATCTCCCCAGCCCTAA